GACACAGGTGATCTCGAAGAAGTAGGACGATAAGGCAGAGAGTCAACACAGTCTTGTAATCTGAGATTTGTTGTTCCATCTTCAGTCTTGGAGCTTCCAGCTGGTGAGGGGAGGCCGCATGAAGACAATGGTTGTTTGGGTTTGGATTGGAGCGAGGAACTGCATCCACTTTTGCAGTTGATCTAATGTCCATCACTGGTCCCCAGATCTATCGATTCCCGTGGTTTGAGTCACAACATTTAGTTTTCTTCTGTAAAATGAAACCAAAAGAGCAGAGTTAGATATTCTTTCTGTTTCTAGTTCTAGGCAATCCCCAGGAAGATGAATGGTTATACGAGGGGATTTCTACAAAATGTTTTTCTCTCCTTACCGTTCTCTAGTTTTGCTGGTAGCATGAGATGGTAGCTGCAAGCCTTTCAGGTCACACAGATAATCCAGCTACTCCAGGATGGCAAATCCACACATGCTCTTGCAAGAAAGCTTGCTGTGTCTCTGAGCACAGTCTCAAGAATTTGGAGAATATATGAGCATATTTCTGACCAAACTGTCAGACTGCATGATAGTGGCATGTTGTGAGCACAAATCATTTAGTGAGATTTGTGCTCACAACCCAGCACCGTGCAGTTTAATACCTATTCCTGTTTAAGGCGTTGTCTTATTGTTGCATGTCCAACACACCTGTTGTCACTTTCATTTCATATCCCTGAAGTTTCACAGATTTTGTGTTATAATCTGACAACAAGTGTTCCCCAATTTCTTTGAGCTGTGCACTCTTATCACATTTTGGACAGTGGCAACCAAAACTGGAGGCAGCATACGTTTTGCAGAAGTAATCTGATCAGTCAGATTAGTTACATTCTGTTTCTGTCTTTACTGTAACAATGAAACAATTTCCATGACAGTGAAGTAAAACCACTCAAGTTGTTTCTCAATTTATCTCTGTGCCTTGTGCAACATCCGTGAGTGCTTTAAATAGTCCGCCTGTGACTCGCAGCTTACCCGCACTTTGTAAAAGCTGCATGATGGCATCAGTCAGTGTACTCGTTTGACTTATTTACTCACTCTCTTTACTCCTATTTACTCATATCTCTTTATAAAATAAAAAAAACTGTTTAAAGCAGTAATTACACAAAAGAAGACAAAAAAAATGAACAGCTGATACCCACAGTAGATCTGTGAAAGTCACCCCTGATTACACACTGGACAACATGACTGTTAAATGCTTATGTAGCTAGGCCAAAGAGAGAGCTGATTGTGGTGGTTGTAGCATTGCCATACTGGGTACTCACTTTGTTTGCCAAAGTACCAGTGACCCACCTCACATCTCCTGCAGGTTTTAAATGTGTCCTTGATCCAGTAAAGCTGATTCAAATTGCTAAATGACCTCCGCAACATGTCTTGAAGTTTTCAGAGGCCTGGTAGTGAACTAATCATTTGATTCAGCTGTGTTGACCAGTGTTGGGCAAGTTACTTTGAATAAGTCATTAGTTATAGTTACTAGTTACTTCTTAAAAAAGAAACTGAGTTACAAGATTCTAAAAGTAATTAATTACTTGAAAAGTAACTATTGCGTTACTTAAAAAAAAAAAACATGTTCAACCCTCTGGTGTCCAGGGTATAATTGGCCATTTTTTTTTTACTACTTTTGATGTTTCCTCTACATTTCACCTTTAAAAACTATTTACTTTGCCTTGTTTGGTATCATTCTTTTCAGCACAACCTCACATGCCTGAATTTACAGTTATGTTTTCATGTTGGCATACTGTATTAACACAACTGATCTAAATTCAGACAGAAAACATAAAATCCAAGTAGAAAAAGTAAAAAAAAAATTACTGTAACAACTACAAACATGTTTATTGAATCATATTTCATATTTCACAACTTTAAAAATTGTCAATTTTACAATCCTATTCACAAGTTATTTGCAGCCTTTTACTTTTTTTAAAAAAATAACAATTTCAAACTATTTACATAACAGTCAGCTGTTCTCCATTAAATAAGATTCCACACAAATTATTTGTGCCACTCCCAAAAAATAATTTTTGTCCACTATAAAGGAGAACATCACAGGACTGACACCTGCAGGTCTAACAGCAGCAGGTGTATCACTCATTCTGCTTTTTACCTGGAGAAAGCAGTCACCTCATTGTTCTGACACACAACACAAAACTATCCACAACACTACACACTAACTACACAAGACAACACATTAACTACACACTCTAAACACGCTAAACATCACAAATCTCTCACATCTCAAAACTCGCTCTCTCTCTCTTTTTGTGCTGTCTTTCTTTCTCTCGCGCTCTCTCTCTCTCTCTCTTGCCGTCACTCCTAAAACTTCCCCTCTTCCTAAACAACCAAATTTCTTGTTGCGTTGTCATTTTTGATTGGTCGACATGGTACATTTTTCAACCAACACGAACGTTTGGTCATAAGCAGAGAGTGCTTGCTAACGCTGTCCTTAAACATTAAACATGACGAAACTATTCAGGAAAAACAGGCGTATATATTGTTTATCACGATTCTGGTTTTACGTGGCCTATCAACACAATCAACACAAAACTGGTATATATCACCTTGTTGCTTTGTCATCTTAAAGTGGTCATGTGATTGGCTTACTACGACTACTTTATTCTTCCTCAGTCAAACAGCAGCACTCATGCAAATGTTTTTCCCCCTTAGTTCCAGGTGTTGTGCTAGACAGTGATCGTGATTACCATCCGCGGGAGCACGCGCAGCTGCCTAAAGCTGTAGGGCCCAGATCACTTAAAGCTACTTCCGTGCTACCGATATAAGCTGCGGTAACCTGAACACAGCTTCAACCGTCTATTTGTTGAAAAATAGTAACGCGATTGCGCCGCATTTTCTTGTTAGTAAGGGAAACGGCCTAGGTAATTAGTTAGATTAGTCGTTACAGAAAGAAGTAACGCCGTTACTTTTAAGGCTGTTACTTGTAATGCCGTTATTCCCACCACTGGCGTTGACCCAGGGTAAGATCTGAAACCTGCAGGACACCGGCGCTCGAGGCCTGGAGTTGCCTAGGTAAAGATGTGCGTGCATCTGCCGTCATCCTTCAGGCAGTTCAATTTTTGCCTTTAAAATAATCAGCTGCACTGCATTTTCTGGTTAGCAATTGTAACACCGTTGTAACCAGTGTTGGTCAAGTTACTTGAAAAAAGTAATCAGTAACTAATTACGGATTACTTCGCCCACAAAAATAATCCCGTTACTTTACTGTTTACTTATTTTCAAAAGTAATAATTACGTAGTTACTTAGTTACTTTTTAAAAACACGATTTACAACCTGAATAGGTAATAAAGCAATAGATCTTTCAGCCCAATTCTACTTTTTCTGCATAATCCATCATACAAAATGTAATCAAATGGAAAAGTCTCTTTTTAAAACTTGTTTT